AGTGGGGTTTGCAGAGTGGAAGAGAAGGGAGGAGGAGGAGGGGGAGGGGAAGGAGGAGGAGGAGGAGGAGGAGGAGGAGGAGGAGGAGGAGGAAGGGAGGGAGGGAGGGAGGAGAGGACAAGAGAAAGAAGAAGAAGGAATGGAGGGGGAGGAGGAGGAATAGAAGAAATATAGGGCCCTTGGTGACTCTCTGAGCTTGGTGGTTTTCTTGAAGACGTTTCATGACCCAACTAGAGAACGTCATCAGTGCTCCGAGGGAGTGGGGTTTGCAGAGTAGAGGAGGAGGAGGAGAAGAATGGAGGAGAAAGAAGAGGGAGGAGAGGAGGAGGAGGAGAATGGGAGGAGAAAGAAGAGAGAGGAGGAGGAGGAGAACTATGAACCCTTGGTGCTCTTTGAGCTTGGCTGTTTTCTTGGAGACATTTCATGACTCAAGTAGGTAACATCATTAGTGCTGAAAGAGAATGAGGAGGAGGAGGAAGAGGAGGAGGAGGAGGAGGAGGAGGAGGAGGAGGAGGAGGACTATCGGATCCTTGCTGCTCTCTGAGCTGGGTTCTTTTCTTGCAGAGATTTGTTGAGAAAGAAGAACAGGGCTAGAAAAATTATGACCCTTGAACTATCTGGCTGTTTTAAAAATGAAGATATCCCCCCAAAGCAGATTAGAGCCATAGACATTTGTTCTTAACTGTCTTTCTCACAATCAAGACAGGGTGGTTGGCAAAGGGGCTGGCTGAGAATTGTTGACGTAACCATGCCCCACGTTCCGATCCGCCTTGACGGGCGGATTAATGATTTCATCCACCTTCCGGGATGTACAAGAGATGAGGGGCGCAAAAGGTGACCCGCGTGTAATTACACGGCCACACCAACGATGCGACTTCTGGCCGACGTCGTGTTCTGGCCACGGCCGTGTGCGATGCATGTGTGGCCGTTTTTAATGTCACCTTAGCGGGTAACAAGAGGTCGACCTGGGGACTGCATTTCCACAAACCAGAGCATTTTCCAATTTATTTATTACAATGAAAGCAAGAAGCAAATCTCAAGGCTTTCGTGGTTTGCCTTTCAGCTAGGAAGGGAGCCAGAACCCGGTATGTCTACGGAGATTCTCTGTCATCCAGGCCATGGTTGTGCCTTTTTTTTTTTCCTCTCTCTCCAAAAGTCAGCTGGGTTTTCTGGGGGTTCCTTTTCCCTTTGAAAATGTTTAATTTCTTGGGATGATAAAGCAAAGCATTTTTAAAGGGGAAAAAAACACCAAGAAAGTCCGATTATCTTTTGAAAAAAAAAAAAAAGAGAAGCCCTTTTTGGGGCCAGGACATTAATGTAGGGGAACTCCGTGAAGAGTCACAAATCTTGTTTCCCACAACATACTTACCTGTGCCAGAGTGAGGAAAAAGAGAGTCTTCATCGTACCAATGAGATTCTTGGTCAGGCGTTAATCTTGGGTGTTAAATCTCTGCTTATCTGGGTGTTGATTTCTGGTGAGGAGGTTCCACTAACACTTGTCAGCGCAAGCCACTTGCATATAAACAGAGAACAAACCCCATAATTCTCTAGCACTGATGATGTTACCTAGTTGGGTCATGAAGCATCTGCACGAAAGCCACCAAGCTCAGAGAGGACCAAGGACCCTGCAGTTGTCTCCTCCTCCTCCTCCTCCTCCTCCTCCACCCCCACTACACAAACTCCATTCACTCACTTCTAGTACTGATGATGTTCCCTAGTTGGATTATGAAACATCTGCACGAAAGCCACCAAACCCAGAGAGCATAAGGACCCCACAGTCTCCTCCTCTTCTCCTTCTCCTTCTTCTCCACAAACCCTCCTCCTTTCTAACATTGATGATGTTACCTAGTTGGGTCATTAAATGTCTGCAAGGAAACCACAAAGCTCAGAGAGCATCAAAGATCCCACAGTCCTCCTCCTCCTCTTCCTCTTCCACTACACAAACTCCACTCATCCCTTTCTAGCACTGATGATGTTCCCTAGTTGGGCCATAAAATATCTGCCAGGGAACCACCAAGAACCCCTCAGTCTCCATCTCGGTCTCCTCCTCCTCCTCCTCCTTCTTCTCCACAAACCCCTCTCCCTTCTAACACTGACCATGTTCCCTAGTTGGGTCAGGAAATATCTGCCAGGAAACCACCAAGCTCAGAGAGCACCAAGGACCTCTCATATAGAAAGACATACAGGCGATATTTAAAGGCCCAGAACTTCAAGACACAGGTAGAAAACCGCGGGAGAGCTAAGACAAGGCAGATGCATCTGTCGTAAGGGCTGCTCCAAAATGAAAATTAAGAAAGAAATAACCTACGATACAGAGAAAGCTATTTAAAAAGGAAGCTTTCCGAGCGATTAAAAAAAAAGAGAGAGAGAGAGAGAGAGAGAAAACAAAACAGAGAACGCAGACAAGACAGCTGAAGGGTTCCTGGGGGTGAGGAAATGAGGTGTTGGAGAGAAAAGGAATGGACACAAAACGTGGAAACAACTGACAAGATAGGAGAGGACAGCAATCAGAGGGTAAAGACAGCAGGTCAAAGTCATTGGCGCTTTGAAAGCATCCAGAGAGGTTAATAGAGTGAAGATTTTTTTTTTAAAAAAAAAGAAAGAATGAGTGAGTGACAGAAGAGCTCCAAAGAGACAGGCGGAGGGAACGATGCAGTCGGCGAGACAACGGCAGATGTAATTACTCCGGTCCTGATAGGACAGGGATCTTAAATCTCAATTTCATTGAGGACCGCATTAGAGCTCGGGCAGGGGGGGCGTGGCCAACTGGATGGGTGTGGCCAGCTTGATGCCCCTCCCCAAACTGCTGGCATATTTCCTCTTCGCATTGGGTAGAGCGGGCCAAAGCCAGGCTGGCCTGATCTTTCCTCCTCGCGTTGGATAGCCCTGCAAGGCAGCTCTGACCTCCATCGTGGGCTGGATCCGGCCCATGAGCCTTGAGTTTGACACCCTCCCTTCTAGTGAAGAAGGAGACTGTCAACTCATCAACCATGCCTAGGCCTGTTTTAGTAGTTGCCATAAAAAGGGGTGGGGGGGGAAGGAAATCTGGAAGTGCAGCACAGCAAAGCGAAAGTGCATTCCAACTCTTTATCTTTAAAGGATTGTAGCTAAACTACTGGAGCTTTTGCCTGTGAATATATTTAATTGGAGAACGTGATTGATGACACCCAGCCTGTGAAGAGGCTCAGTTGGAGAATCTGATTTATGACACACCTAGGAGAAAGCGGGGGGAAACAGGGTCACAGGGGACTGGGAATTACGTATGCCAGAGTTGGCTTCATGCCGGCAGGTTGCTCCTAATAAATCTTTTGAGTTTTTTTTTTTGAAGTTGGGCTCGAGAATCATGATTTAACTAGGGCGACGGCTGGAATCCTGACGGCGACAGCTGCCTCGCTTACCAGCATATCCGTGGCGATCAGGTAGTGCTTGCTGCCCGTGTACTGCTGCAGCTTCTGCGGCACCTGCTTGATGGTCTCGATCTCGTCCAGAAGGTTCAGGACATGCTTGTGCTCGATCCCTTCGATCCACAGCTTGCGCAGCTCATCCCGCTTGCAGTGCAGAAGCATTTTGCAGGAAACCAGGTTCTCCTTCACCTGCAAAGGAGGGGGGAAAGAGCAAGAGGGGAAACCCAGGTGACTCCGAGGGTCCCCTTGCCCGGAAGCGACCAACTCGCTTCAAATCAAAGGGCGGGTACTCCTCGACTTACAACCTCTCTCGTTTGGTGACTGTTACAACGGCACCGAAAGTGACCTACGGCCATTTTTTTTTTCACACTAACGACTGCTGCAGCGTCCCCAGGGTCAGTGAGCAAAATTCAGCTGCTTGGCAACCGACTCACATTTATGAAGATTTCAGGGTCCCGGGGGGTCTTGTAATCCCCTTTTGTGACCTTCTGATAAGCAAAGGTAATGGGGAAAGCCAGATTCACTGAACAACTGGGTTACTTATTTAACAGCCTCAGTTATTCACTTAACAACAGTGATGTCAACTCATAAAATATTTCTATGGTCTTTTTAGAATAGCCAACAGAAAGGGAGGGGGAAGTAATGGGCAGCTTAGGATCTCCAATGATAATGATAAATTATATAAATTACATAAATTGTTCCAACTCCTATACTCAAAACGACACTATAGAGTCTTGCACACCAGAACAACTACACACAAGGACAGTTTTTCCCAAATGCCATCCCTCTGCTAAACAAATAATCCCCTCAACACTGTCCAACTATTTACAAAGTCTGCACTACTATTACTATTAATCTTCTCATCACTCCTTATCACCCATCCCCTCCCACTTGTGACTGTAGGACTGCAATTTTGTCGCTTGTATCCTTACGACTTATATTGACTGTTTCCTAGTATGATTTGGTTGCTTATTGTACCCTGTGACTATCACTAAGTGTCGTACCTTATGATTCTTGACTCTTGACGAATGTCTCTTTTCTTTTATGTACACCGAGAGCATTTGCACCAAGACAAATTACTTGTGTCCAATCACACTCGGCCAATAAAGAATCCTAAACTAACTATTCTAACTAAATAAAATGATAAAGGGGAAAAAAAAACTGAGCCACCAGCCAGGTGAGTCCGCTGTGTAGGACAACCTTGCTAAAGAAAAGGAGCACAACTCTTACCAATCCATTTAACACCAGCGAGGTCAGGGGTCCATACCAGAAAGAATGAGTTCTGTTTAAGAGGCTAAAAGCCAAGAAGTGGGACCCCACCTGTAAAGTCACTTCAAATCTATCCTGTTAATTTCAGCCAGACTGCATCACACACCGCTAATGTCATTTAAAAATAATGCAATGCACAAGCTGGTAATGGCTTTTCTCACTGTTGTTTTGTCTCGAATACAAATTGCCTAGTTTCCTCCACTCCTACTTTTTAATGCAGCGGAACACCAGACAGGTAACACCTCCCTGGTGAGGTTGTTATCACTGGCAAAACATAAAAAGCTTGAAACACAAATCCAGAGATGTCTAATATTCAAAAACATGTGTTTTTTTTTTTTTTCCCAGAGATAAAAAAAACAACAACCCCTCTCGTATATGTTCCACATTGCTGCCGTGAGTGCTCGCAAATGCACGGAAAGGTAGCGAAAACTCTTGAGACTTTCTTGACTTGTGACAAGATCCGAAATGATTACACAGCCACCATAGTTCCTGAGCCCAGAAAGATAATGCTATATCCCATAAGACATCCCCAACAGCTTTTGAGATGGGAGGGGAATTTAGAAAGCATTTTATTATGGATTTACTGCATCAAGGCGCTGTGGGGTGGGGTGATGGGTGGCGTATAAATTTGATGAATAAATAAAATCATAGAGAGAATCTATTTGGGGGTGAGGCAGAGCAAAACACCCTTCTGAAAACAGCGGCTTGGGGCCAGCAGAAAGCTGCCACCCCATCGTTAAGTCAAGACAAATCAATGAAACGGGACACAGGTGACATCCAAATATCCGGGGGCTTCTGGCATCTTAAAAAGAAAGTGCGCTGGAAGAAAAACAAGATTATGCTCATATTCTTGCATCGTAGACAACGTACAGCCGCACGATTGTGGTGCCAATTTCACAGTTACAATAACATCCTGGAGAAATCATACCAGCCGTGGCATCGGCTTTTGGGTAAGTCCCAGATAAAATAGACTTTGCGAGCAACTCCCGATTTTCTGGGTCTCTTTGGATTTCCACCCCCTGCTATAATACTGCATTTCTCAATCTCGGCAACTTTAAGAGGCGTGTTGTTCGACTCCCAGAATCCTGGGAGTTGAAGAACGCAGAACTTAAAGCTGGTAAGGTTAAGAAACAACGCTATAGCACTTTCCTTAATTGATAAAGACCTGTGGTGGCGCAATGGTTAGAATGCAATACTGTAGGCAAACTCCACCCACTACCAAGAGTTTGAATCTCACCAGGCTGAAGGTGGACTCAGCCTTCCATCCTTCCAAGGTAAGTAAAATGAGGGTCCATATTGTTGCAAGGGGGGGCAAGAGGCTGACTCTGTAAACCGCTTAGAGAGGGCTGCAAAGCACTGTGAAGTGGTATATAAGTCTAAGTGCTATTGCTAAGTGGGAGGGAGGAGAGGAAGGGAGGGGAGGGGAAGGGGAAGGGGAAGGGGAAGGGGAAGGGGAAGGAAAAGAAAAGGAAAAGGGAAAAGGAAAAGGAAAAGGAAAGGAAAGGAAAAGGAAAGAAAAGGAAAGGAAAAGGAAAGGAAAAGGAAAAGGAAAAGGAAAAGGAAAGGAAAGGAAAGGAAAAGGAAAGGGAAAAGGAAAGGAAAGGAAAGGAAAAGGAAAGGAAAAGGAAAAGGAAAAGGAAAAGGAAAGGAAAAGGAAAGGAAAGGAAAGGGAAAGGAAAAGGAAAAGGAAAAGGAAAGGAAAGGAAAGGAAAGGAAAAGGAAAAGGAAAGGAAAAGGAAAAGGAAAGGAAAGGAAAAGGAAAAGGAAAAGGAAAAGGAAAGGAAAAGGAAAAGGAAAGGAAAAGCCTTCCATCCTTCCGAGATGGGTAAAATGAGGGCCCCGATGGTTGGGGGCAAGAGCCTGACCCTGAAGCCGCTCAGAGAGGGCTTTGAAGCACCGTGAAGCGGTATATAGATCTAAGTGCTATTACTAATAGCCGTATCACCCTCTGAGCACTGGAAACGCCATTCCAAGGATCCAAACCCTAGCTATCCCACAAACTGCAGCCCAAAATTCCTGCGTGCAATTTACACACAGTTCTCCACCTACAGCAGTTCGTTTAGTGACCGTTCAAAGTTAGAACAGCACCGAAACAAGTGACTTAGGACCATTTTTCACAGTTAACGACTGCTGCAGCATCCCCGTGGTCACGTGATTAAAATTCAGGCGCTTGACAACTGATCCGTATTGATGACAATTGCAGTGTCGTAAATGTGCGTGATCCCCTTTTCTGGCCAACCAAGACAATGGGGAAGCCCGGTTCACTTAACAACCCTGTTACTCACTTAACGACTGCAGGGGATTTGCTTAGCAACGATGGCAAGAAAAGTCATAAAAGGGAGCCCAAACTCACCGAACAGCTATCTCACTTAGCAACAGAAATCAATTGTGGCCGTAAGTCGAGGACTACCCGTATTAAGGAAACACAGCCTATGGAAGAATGGAGGTAGTTTTGCAGTGCAAGCCTTCAAGTCATAGTTCCCCACCCCCCCAAAAAAATCTCAGCATTGATAAATGTCCTTTAGACCAAATTCAACCCCTGCTCGACACCGAAATCCAAAGGAAACTTCTGAGAAATGCAGGTGGGCGCATCCCACCGAGGGAAACGCAAGGAATCCCAGTCTGCTTCAGTCAACTGGTCCCACTGCCGGACTGCTCGGATTGTTAGTGGGGGGCTTTTTGCCATCTGGAAAGACCCTCTCTTATCAATCGAGCTCTAATCCAGATATTAGGGCTAATAAACCAACCGCAGAAATGATGAGCCTCCGCTAAACCGGCTGGTTTCCTGGGTAGGAGAAAACCACGCGCTAAATTAACGGCAATCTGACGTATGCCAAGATTTGGTCACCTCTGCTGACAGGTGACCTTTCTTGTTCTCCTTTTTCTTTTCCCCGATTCTCGAATTTAAAAAAGGAGAGAGAGAGAGAGAGATTATACCGCGGACAGAGCCCTGGCTTTCAATCTCGACCGTTACAGTCTTTCACACCGCTGTCATTCAAGCGCACTCACACATATATGCGGTATTAGCCTCTCATTCTCTCTCTCTCTCTCTCTCTTTTTTTCTTTCTCTCTTTCTCTCTCTCTCCAGGCTGATGGGAGGATTAATAATGCAAGGACAAACTGATAACCCTCCCTGACCTTTGGTGGATCAACCGAAAGATGATTCTCAAAAAAAATACTTAGGTGGAAAAAAAAAAAACCAGCAGGCATCGGAGCCGCTTTTTAGACCACCCCTCCCGTTTCCAATTTTGGCCTCAAGGACACAGGCAGAGACCCCCGAATTTAACACACACAATGGAAAGAAGAAGAAGAAGAAATAAAACTTAGCAGAGTTTCTAAAGTGCAAAAGAGAGGATGTGGTCATGGAGGAGTGACGGTTTAACGGAGCAATGTTTGAGGGAAAGGTGGAAGAAAAGAGGAAGAGAAAAAGGAGAGAGGGGAGGATGGGGAGGAGAACGGAGGGGAGAGGATAGGGAAGGGGGGTGAGGGGGGAAGGGGGAAGGGAATGGAGAGGGGAGGAGAATGGAGGGGAAGGGAAGGGGTTGGAGAGGAAGGAGGAGAGGGAGAGGGGAATAGAGGGAGGGGAAGACTGGAGGGGAGGAAAGGAGGGGAGAGGAGAGGGGAAGAGAGGAGGGGAGGGGAGAATGCAAGGGAGGGGGAGGGACTGGAGAAGAGGAAGAGGAGAACAGAGGGGGGAAGGGAAGGGACTGGAGACGAGGAAAGGAGGGAGAGAGGAGAAGGAAGGGGAGTGGAGGGGGGAGAATGCAAGTGAGGGGGAGGGACTGGAGAGGAGGGAAGAGAATGCAGGGGAGGGGAGGAGAGAAGAGAATGCAGGGGAGGGGAGAGAGGAGAGGGAAGGGGAGGGGAGAGAGGAGGGGAGGGGAGAGGAGAATGCAAGGGAGGGGAAGGGACTGGAGAAGAGGAAGAAGAGAATGGGGGGGGGAAGGGAAGGGACTGGAGATGAGAAAAAGAGGGAGAGAGGAGAGGGAAGGGGAGGAGAGAGAGGAGGGGAGAGAATGCAAGCGAGGGGAAGGGACTGGAGAGGAGGGAGGAGAACGCAGGGGAGGGGAGGAGAGAAGAGAGGAAACCAGGAGAACGCAGGGGAGAGGAGGGAGGGGAGAGAAGAGGGAAGGAGGGGAGAGAGGAGGGGAGAGAATGCAAGTGAGGGGGAGGGACTGGAGAGGAGGGAGGGGAGGAGAAGAGAGCGGGGGAGGGGGGGGAGGGGAGAGAAGAGAAGAGAGAATATCTGTCACTTCCCAAGCGGTTAAGGAAAATACCCTCGATACACGAGGACTGAATCTAATCAGTCAGAGTAAATACCAAAGGGTCCTTCATCCTCAGTGGAGATTTCCAGGTAGCGCCTCAAGGTCACTCGGCCTCTACATTCTGACCTCTGCAGAGCTTAATTGTACTGAGTTAGCTTGGACTACAGTTTATTTCAAATTCTGTGTAATTGATCTCTGCCTCCTCCACACACAGAGCTGAGCCTTGTACACCAATCCTCGAAGTGAACGGCTCTCCTTAGAAGGGACTAGGCTGCCCTCACGCCCTTTTTGGAGACCCTACACCAGGGGTGTCCAACCTTTCACCTTCCTTGGGCCACATTAGAAGATGAAAATTTGGTTTGGGCCGCACATAAAATAAAATAACAGTAGCGATACCTGATCATCCAAAAAAACCATAGAAAACATAGTTAACATATTAAATTTATTTGGAAATGAAGTTAGTGAGATGTTTTTATTATTTATTATTAATTATTTATTTAAAATTATTTATTTTTTATCACGGTTTTTTTATCACGGTTTATTTTCCGGCCAAATTTTGCGGGGGGGGGGAGAAAGCTCGCCCGCCTCGCGCCTACCTCTCCTCCTGCAAATAGCCCAGCTGGATGAGGAAGGACTGGAAGGCAGAAGCAGCAGCGGCGGCGGGGGCAGAAGCGGCGGCGGTGGCAGCGGCGACAACAGCAGGAGGTGGCGCTCTGACGGTGCACGCCTTTTCTGTTGCTGCTTGGCCTGGCGCACGCCTCGCCCCACCTCGCGCCTGCCTCTCCTCCTCCTCCTCCTCGCTGGCTCTGGCACGAAGGCTGGGGTGGGCACTGGGCCGCATTACGAGGCGACCTGGGCCGCATGCGGCCCACGGGCCGCGGGTTGGACAAGCCTGTTCTAAAGTGAAAAACAATGATTATAAAATGTGCTACTCTGACGGTGCGTAGAGTATATACATTTTTGTCCTCACTGCTCCAACTGCAGCCGGAAGGAATGCATCTGATCTGTGAGGACAGATTCCAGGTGAGCTAGAGCCTCAATTAGCTTTTAAGAAATTAATTTGCCCACCAGCCCAGGGAAGGACATTACCATATCCGTGTCACGCATATTTACATCCAAGCACACGGAACATGGATTTCACCCCAGGTATGTTGTTTGGCACCTATCCCTGAACTTTGCGGGGGGAAAAAAAGAAGAAGAGGAAGGAAGAATTCCATTCGTATTGCGTTAATTAAATGTTTTCCTAGCCTGCTTCGCACGGGGGTGCTTTTTTCAGTCAAAGGCACAGGAAGGAAATCACTCTGGGCTTGCACTGTACGTAAAGTCAATCCTGCGCCGGGAAAACCTTCCGCCTTTGAATTTCACCTGCTTGATTTTGTTGCGAGAAGTGGTGATGCGTTCAGTGATGCTCTGGTAGGTGCCGATGGCAGTCATCAGTTCGTTGTAGTGCTGAACGATCAACTCGTCCAAGTTACGGTCGCATTTTTCGTACGCCTCCTCCAGGCGGGCCTTCTCGTGTTCTCTGTCCTCGACATCGTCACTGGTGGACAGTGTCCTGAAAAGGAGAGGAAAGAGCACAGGATTGATGGATTGACGGATTTGATTTGGTTTATTAAATTGCGACGCCGCCCATCTCCTCTACAAGGTGGTTCTGGTCCGCTTCACCACAAAGGTAACTAACAGATAACAGATGTTCAGAGTTGGAAGGGACCTTGTAGCTCATCTAGTCCAGGGGTCGCCAACCTTTTGGACCTCAGGGACGACCAAACTCTTAATTTTTAATCCCATGGACCCGAGACCCTGCGAAAATCCCCCAAAAAGTCTGCAGGAAAATTCCCCACTCTATTTTCCTACCGATCGATCGTTCTTTATTTGGGATGGCAGGATACCATCTCTCTGTGCTCAGGGGGAGAGAGATAGAGAGAGAGAGGGAGAGACTTTTGACTTCATGCAAGGAAAGCAGCAGAAGCCACAGAAGTCTTTCTTTCTCTCCCCCAAATTCTGCCAGAAACGAGTCTTTGCCAGCACAGCCTCTTGGAGCAGGAGGCCTTGCAGGGTCCCAAAGACTCATTTCTGGCGGAGTTTGAGGGAGAGAAAGAAAGACTTTTGCTGCTTTCCTTGCCTGCAGCCAAAAGCAGAAAAAGAAAGAAGCGGAAAGAAGCAACCTGGTGGCCAGGCAAGGCATGTGGGGTGAGTGGGGCAAGTTCCCCCCTCCACCCTTTCCCCCCTCCCCTCACTACCTTGTGTAGTTCACAATACAAGCCTTGTGTTTCCACAGGGCCATGTGGGCAGCACAGCCTTGTGTTCCCGCACAGCCTGGATTAATTGCTTTGGGGGATGACATTTCTCTGCGGACCACCAAAATTTTCTCACGGACTACCAGTCATCCTCGGCCCACTGGTTGGCGACCACTGATTTAGTCCAATCCCCTGCCCAAAGCAGGAGAGCCTACACCTGTCATGGTGAACCTATGGCATGCATGCCGGAAGTAGCATGCAGAGCCACTTCTGCCGGCACGCGAGAGGTTCCCCGGAAGAGCCCCACTGCACATGCACACGTGCTGCCCGCCCAACAGCTGATGGGTGGGTATCTGGCATGCATGCGTGGGGGGGGCAGGGTGTGCGCGGGAGATATGCACGCATGCACAGAGACGTGCGGCGCATGCAAGGGGTCACACGTTCATGCGCAGGGGGCGTGGGGAGGGGGCACATTGCCTTCTGGGTGGCTTGAAACTCAACATTAAGAAAACTAAGATCATGGCATCTGGCCCTCTCAATTCCTTGGCAAATAGATAAGGAAGAAATGGAGGTAGCAACAGATCTTATTTTCCTGGGCTCCAAGATCACTGCAGATGGGGACTACAGTCGAGAAATTAAAAGACGCTTGCTCCTGGGGAGGAAAGCTATGGCAAAGCTAGACAGCATCCTAAAAAGCAGAGACATCCCCCTGGCAACAAAAGTGCGTAGAGTCAAGGCTATGGTTTTCCCAGGTTTTTTTGTTTTTTGTTTAGAATAGGAATAGGAATCTTTTATTGGCCAAGTGTGACTGGACACACAAGGAATTTGTCTTTGGTGCAGATGCTCTCAGTGGACATAAAAGAAAAGAGACATTTGTCAAGAATCATCAGGTGCCACACTTAATGCTAGTCATAGGGTACAATAAGAATGGGATGGGATGGGATGGAGTAGAGTAGAGTAGAGTAGAGTAGAGTAGAGTAGAGTAGAATAGAATAGAATAGAATAGAATACAGAAATGGAATGGAATAGAATAGAATAGAATAGAATAGAATTCTTTATTGGCCAAGTATGATTGGACACACAAGGAATTTGTCTTTGGTGCAAATGCTCTCAGTGTACATAAAAGAAAAGAGACATTCGTCAAGAGTCAAGAATCATCAGGTGCAATACTTAATGATAGTCGTGGGGTACAATAAGCAATGAACGGCTGTGAAAGTTGGACCATAAGGAAGGTTGAGCGCCAAAGAATGGGAGGCCTTTGGACTGCAAGGCCATCTAACCGGTCAGTCCTAGAAGAGATCAACCCTGACTGCTCTTGAGAAGGCCAGATCCTGAAGATGAAACCCAAATACTTTGGCCACCTAATGAGAAGGAAGGACTCGCTGGAGAAGAGCCCAATGCCGGGAACGATGGAGGGAAGAAGAAGAAGAAGAAGAAGAAGAAGAAGAAGAAGAAGAAGAAGAAGAAGAAGAAGAAG